TGGGTGGCATCGTTGCACGCCAGCAAAAGCCCTATTGAAAAAAGAAACTCTTAACTCTACCGTAAGGAATTCAGGGAAGCTGGGGACACGAGGTAAAGGAATGAAGCAAAAAGGTGAAGCATGAACATGAACGTGCCCAGTGTAGCCCTATTTATAATAATGAAAACTGACAACAATCTACATATTTCGCGTGTTTAGGGGAGTGATATAATGAATTGGGACTTTTCGGCACGAAGGACTGTTATTAGGCCCCTTAACCGTGATGAACCTGTGTAGCAACACACATTTAAATATTTAAGATAAAATGGAAGAAATAGTCCTCATTTATGGAGCCGGTCCTAGTGGCATTAGGCCAACATTCTCCCTTTTTATTCTTTTCCTTTTAAGATTTTATGTATTTATTCCTGAGAGAGGCAGAGAGAGAGGCAGAGGCACGGGCAGAGGGAGAAGCAGGTGCCCTGCGGGGAGCCCAACGCAGGACTCGATCCTGGGACCCCCGGGTCACGCCCTGGGCCCGAGGCAGACGCTCCAACGCGGAGCCCCCGGGCGTCCCTCCCCCTTTTTGTCTTACAGCCCCCATGTGCGAAAGGTATCGTCACACTGTGGAGTCGAGGCTCAGAGCCTAATTGCTCAGGGACTCGCCCCTCACCGGTGCAGGAGGGACGTTCAGTCCAGGTCTCGTGATTCCAGAGCTTTCCTTGGGTTCCTGCCAGCAGCGTGTACCTGGCCTCGGTGTCCGTGGCCGTGGGGACCTGAGCACGAGCCCAGTGGTGCTCCCGGCCCCGCTGAAGCTGTCGCTGCGGAGCCGCGTGTGAAGCAGCGTCGCTGCCCTTGCAGTGGGAAGACGGGCAACATCGGTGGAGCGTGACCTTCCAGTTGCTTCTCCGGCTGTTCTGTGTCACCACAGAGGGGTTGGCAAGGTGGGAGTCATGAGTGTGTTTTGAGCGCTTCTCCGTGGCTCTGGTGTCACCAGGCTACGTCCCCGTGTTACTTGCCAAGGAGCTGGGGACATGCGGCCCCGGTGCCTTCACTGGGGGCGTGGCTTCCCATGCCCGGCTCTCCCCGGGTTACGGCTGGTGGGCAGGGGCACCGCCCTCACTCCTGGTGCCTCCAGACACGGGTGTACGCCTCGTGGGGCACATGCCTGCGGTAGCACCGTCTGTGGGCTCTGAGGGCCCTCGTGCCCATTTTGCCCCCTGAGATGGCGTCGTGTCGGGATTCGCAAGTGGAACCAGAGCCGGCGTGAGTACGGAGCACCAGAGGAGAGCTGGACACGTCCGCGGAGCCCCCGGGTCACTCTGCATTCTGCACACGGGGAGACGGAGGCACCCATTGGTTATGTGACTCGCTGGGGGCTGCAGGCAGTGAAGACAGCTGGGAGCCGGGCCCACGGACCCCGTGATCGTCCCGCTCCCTCCAGGCTGTGTCGTGCGTGGAAACCAATGCGATCAGGATCCACCGGCTGTTCCCAGGTGTCCCGGGGCTAGAGGCCCGTATTTCACGATTGCAGCAAGTATCTGGTGGCGCCGGGAGCATAGCAAGGTGTCACGGGCATTCTGGGCAAGTCCCAGCGAGCGGAATTGTCGGGAAGATGCGAGAGCGCAGCTGAGGACACGGGCAGGGCCGAGGAAGGAGCAGCGTCCCCAGGGTGCGGGGAGCCTGCGCGCTTGGCCATCCCGGGTCCGTGGGGTCGTGACCAGAGCCAGTGGGTGCCCCTAGGGCGCAGCTCCTTACGTGCGGCCCAGTAACCGCGTCCCGTGTGCTCACTCACCTGCACTCTGGCCCCGGGACCAGGGGAGGAGTTTCCAGCCGCTTTGGGTGGGATGCGCCGAGAGCCGCCGCCGTTGCCGTGGACAGAGCCGTCCCAGAGCCTGCGTGCCCCCGACGCTCACCTGCGTCTCTCCAAGTGAACAGGGTCCCATCCGTGTCCTGTTCTCGTAAAATGAAGATGTTCTACTTGAGGGAGAGGGAGCAAGTACACCGGGGGGAGGGGCGGGGGGCAGGGAGAGCGTCTGCGAGCACTCACCCCAGAGTGAGGGGCTCCAGGCGTGGCCCGGTCCCAGGACACCCGTGGTCTGAGCCTGGAGCCAGACTCGGACACCTTGGCCCCGAGCCCCCTGCGCGTCGGCCAGGTCGGGATTCCCGGTGTCCGTCCCCCCACAGCCTGCTCCTCCCCCACAGAAGCTACCGGTCGCTGGAGCCAGAGCCGTGGTGTTGCAGTGTCGTCTACACCCGTCGTCTCCCTCGTCCCTCACAGCTGCTTCGTCAGCGGGTCCCCTGCCCTGAGCACCCTCACTGGCCTGCGCCGTGTGTCCCTGGACAAGCGCACGGCCCCGCAGGTGGCCGCCCCGGCCCGTTTATCCACGCAGCCCTCAGGCCCGTCCACGCAGCCGCCCGACACACTGCGAAGCTCTTCAGTCGGTCCCGCTGCTCCCGTGTTTACGTGGAAGCGTCCTCGGGACCTGCTCCATGTCAGGCGCCTGTAGGGACTCGTCTGGGTGCCCATGTGTCCCCTGGCTCTGTCGCAGTGCCAGGCCCGGTGTCGGGAGCCTCATCCCCTCGTTCACAGCCATGTCTCCCACCGTGCAGCTGTGCCCAGGACGTGGTTTATGCTCAGTGAACGCCTCTTCTCAGGAAGAGTCCCGGCGCAGTCGTCGTGACGGAGACCACGCTGGCGCCCGTGCATGGGCGGTGTGGCCTCCTGTCTGCGGCGAGGCCGTGGGGTGGGTGTCAGAGCCGTGTGCGTGCAGCTGCGAGCTCTCGCGGGGCCGCCCCTGCCGTGAGCCCAAGGACGCTCTCCCCCCAGCGCCCCTGATGTCCCGCGTCTTGCAAGTCTCGTCTGCCTCCTGCTGGGGAAGCAGAGGAGCGTCCTCCAAGGTCACCTGTCGTGACCTGCAGGGTGGAGCGGACAAGCTGCCGCCCCACGGCAAAAGGAGACCAGCCACAGAGACTTCTGTTTGGAACACACCCACCGAGTCTTTGAGACCAAGTAGACCTGAAGAAAAGGGATTTTGTGTCTTTTTTTCCCCTTGAATGTCGTGTTTCTAAGAAGACTGTGTGTTCTCCGGCTCTCCTGGGTCACGGCCAGCCGAGGCTTCGGAGGGGAGCGGGGAGTTGTCGGAGGCGAGACGGGCCTGGCCGGGCCAAGGACGATGCCAGCCCCACACACACTGGCTGCGCGGAGTTGCTGACGTCACAACGTGCTTCCCGCCCAAGGACGCTCCTGCCCCGGTGGTTCTGTGCCCGGCCTGGCTCGGCACCGACGGCCCGGGTGGCCGCGGGCTGCTGACCCGTGTGCCTCGGTTTGCTCACCCGCTGAGTGGGCACGGGAGGACCCACCCCGTGCAGCCGCTGAGCAGGCTGGGGGAGCGGAAGCGCGTGGACTAGGGCCCGATGGACTTCTCCGCGGAGCCCGGTGAGTGCTGGCCGCTGCGGCACAGCGCCGTCCCTGAGCCACCGAGGGCTTCGGGGGCTTCCTAGCGAAGGTGACCTACGGGGCGGCCAGTGCAGGAGGGAGGCGAGTGCGTGACAGCAGGACACGCAAGGCACGAGCGAGTGAGGCAGCGGCCCCTGGGCGTGCGGGCAGGTCTGGCCTTACAGGTGGCGGCGACCGAGAGCCCCCGGGCCCCTGGGGGCTGAGGAGGCGGGACCTGGTGCAGAAGCTCGAGGAAGCCGCCGAAGGACTTCCGGGCTCAGCCTGGGACCCCAGGTGACGGCGCCCTGGGTGGCCTTGCCTGCCCCTGCCGGCTGCCCCAGACCTCGGCCCGGCCCCAGCCGCCAGCACAACCCGCCGGCACCGCTGGCACCTGCCACGTGTCACGGGTGCGGCCTTGGGTCCCGGGCTGCCCACTCCTAAGTGGAAGTAAGCGTCCGATTTCAGGTCCTTCGCCTATTGGGAGCCCGGAGGTAAGGCCGCACGGTGGATTGGCCTCCCAGCCCTCCCAGCCGTGGCCTCCGCGCGGGGGGCGGGGGGCTGGGGCCGTGGGGCCCAGCCCTGTTGGGCTCGTCTCCCCGGGAGTCTGCTCAAGATTCCCCCTCTCCCTCCATCCCACCCCTGTGCACGCTCGCTCTTGCTGAAATAAATCCTTTAAAATAAAGGCCTCACGAACAGGCGCCCCCGAGGTGTGGTGAGCATCGTGGAGCCTTGGGCCAGCTCTTCACCTCCCGGAGCCTCCGTGTCGTCATGAACGGGAGCGGACGTCCGCTCAGCTTGTCAGGGCAGCACGAGGACTGGCAGGGGCGAGCTGCTAGCGAGGGTTCCTGGGTACCTAGTGCTGCGTGGACACCGCGAGCCCCGTGACGTCCCAGCAGGATGACGCCGCGAGGGGGGTGCTGATGTGTCCCAGGGCAGGGGAGCAGACGATGCAGCCTCCGTGTGCGCGTGCCTTGCCCCGGCGGCCGGGGGGGTCTCCCTGCGCATGGCAGGCCGTACCCCTTGACGTGCGGCCGCCCTCAGTCCCGAGCCGACCTGCTCGGAATGAAACACTGAAATGGCTCCTTAGTGGCGTTTACGTTCGTTACCCAACAAAACCTCATCGCCCGCGTGGATGCAGTGAGCACCCTGGGGTTTGCCCTTCCCGTGGGGTTACTCGGGAGTGTGAAAGCGCGTGTGGGGCTCGCGTCTCGCCTCCGTGGAGCAGCACTGCCCCCGGCGCACCCTCGCCCGTGACCCAGAGGTGCAGACCCTTGTCTGCACCCGGGCGGCCTCCACATCACCCTTGGGGCTTCCACCCGGCGGCTTGGTCCTGGCAGGACAGGCTCAGGGAACGAGGCGAGGAAGGCGCGTTCCGCTCACGTCGGGGTCCGGCCGGGAACGCTACCGCGGGCGATGCCAGCACCCTCGGGGCCGGGCACAGGATGCCGCCTGCCCAGGGCTCGGGGCCACGTAAGCCAAGATACCCCGTCGCCCGTTAGGAGCCAGCAGAGGCTGCACCCGGGAGCACCGGGCTGCGCCCACCCCCGCGCCCACCTGCCTCACTGTGTTCGCTTGACTCTTTCAGGTTCGTCCCCGCTTCCCGCCTGAAGGCGACGGTGGCCCACAGCACGTCCGACCGGTGAGTCCGCTTTCGTTTCTCGCACAGGGTGACCGTTGAAAGGACGCTGCCACCTCCAGGCCAGACCCCCCGGCCCGGCGCTCCGCTCCGGCGTCTGTTTATTCACACTTTCTTTCTGCCTCGGAAACGATTCGCGATGTCTCCAGGCCTTAAAAACCCACACGGATCCGTGTTCCTCTGCTAGGGACGCGGTCAGGGAAAAGATCTGTGATTACTCGCCAACCGCTACTAAAATAAAACCTCTTTTTTAAAAAAATTTTTATAAAGAGACTATTGTGAGGCCCCCGTCGATGGTGCGCTGGTTCAGGCAGTGCCCAAAGCAACGTGCCCGTCCAGCCAGGGAGGCAGCAGTGGCTCGCGCGGTGCTGGACGGACCCTGGCTCACAGCCGACATACCGGCTTCTGGCTGCCGTGTCTCCCCCCCTCCGTCTTTGCACCTGTCGCTGTGGTGACGTAACCGGTACCAGTGCCAGAAAGCTGCCTGTACGGTCGGGACGGTGACGTGGCCTCCCTCCCGGACGCCGCGGTCGTGCCGTTCCGTGCAGCGTGGAGCAGTCAGCTTCTGCCGCGTGAGAAACCAGCCCGAGATAAACTGCCAGAAACACCCCCGCGAGGCTGCAGATACGGGATCAGCCTGTTAGTAGAGCGGCTGCAGGATCGCTTGTGGTGCCCTTGAGTCCCCCGAGGACCACAGGGCGTGGAGTGAGGCCCCCAGCCATGCCCATCCCGTAGCCCACAGGCCTCCCTCCGCGGCCAGATGGGGGGGCCCTGGCAGCCCAGGTGAGCAGCCCCTGAGGTGAGCAGCTCCTGCCACCACCAGGCTGCCCCCCACTCCCTGCCGTGTTGCTCATGCCTCAGCCCGACCTCCAGGCTGTCACCCCGTTGCTCAGGGGCCACCCGTGCCTGGGACCTCCCACGGCAGCGGCCCTGCTCCTCCACCCGCACCCTTCACCCCGCCTCCTCTCCTGCTCACCTCCCACTGGTCCTTTAATTTCAGTCGGGCTGGCCCGTTCGCCATTTCTCCCGAGGACGCCCCATGCTGTCGCCCCTTTCCCTGCTTGGAATCCCTTCCATGTGCGAGGCCGCTAGAGCTTCCCGTCCTCCGCGACGTGGCCGTCCCTGCCTGTCCCTGCCGTCTGGGGCCTGCCCCGCTCCGACCCCGTTGTATGGTTCGTTGTCTCGGCCTTGGCCAGTCTGCTTCCCCTGCTGCTCCGTCGGCGTTGTCTTTACCCCCGAACAGGCCGGTGTGGGATGGCCGTCACGCCGCGGTCCCGGACAACCTCACGGCCGCGGCGTCCAGGCCGTCCTTGCAGTGCCGCGCGGCGGCTGAGGGCAGAGGCCCTCCGTCAAGCAGGAAGGCACGTGGACGCCGCTCTTGGTTGTGGTCGCGTGAGGCACCTGTTCAGATACCAGCTCCTGGCCCGCCCCGGGGCCGTTCCCATCATCAGGTGCAGGGAGGAGCCCGGGAGCACGGGCTCCCGGGATTGCTCTGAGTCTGCAGCCACTTGCTGTGGAAAGAAGGAGAGACTCATGTGAGACTGCTTGAGCCCTGGCCTGCTACCTCTGGGCTCGTATGAGCCCCACCTACCTGAGCCTCAGTTTCTCCACCTGTGAAATGGGAATAATGTTTGAATTGTGGCCTGCCAAGTCTAAAGGCTGATGTACGTGCCCGTGTTTTACAAACCGTAAAAGATAATTAAAGTGCATTAATCAGTGGTGGGGCTGCGGCCGGCCGGTGTGGAGAGAGGGGCAGGTCCTTCGTGGCCGTGGGCCTAGCTCTGGGGGAGGAAGGGCAGTGGGTAGTCGCGTGGTCGTCCCAGCGGGACCAAGCAGAGCAGCAGAGGCCGCAGCGCCTGCTGGTTGGGCTGCCTGTTTTGCGTCCGACTGCGCCCGGCACTGTGCTGCCTTCCGTGAGATTCCTCCACGTCCACGCCAAGGCCGTCGCGTCGGTCGCATCTGTAGCAGCTCGACCGCCTCACACCACTAGCGGGTCAGTCCCTCGGGTGCTTTTCTCCTCTTTCAAAATATCTGCTTAAAACTGTCCGTCCCTGAGAAGGGAAGTTCCTGGTTGGTCCCAACGTCGAGTCGAGTACAGGGTCCCGCAGACGGGAGGACTTGGGAAGGGAGAGCCGCCGGCGGTGCTCAAAGGGGCGGGGGGGGGGGGGGGGGGGGGGAGGGGGGGGCAGGCCAGAGGGGCCCTCCACCCCCACCTCCACACCTCCACGCCCACCCCACCCCTTCCCATGCTCCACCCTCCTCCATGCCCCCACGCCCACACTGCCCTCACCCCCATGCCTACCCCCACTCCACCCCCATACCCTCCCCTACTCCCAACCCCACCCCGCCCCCACACCCTCCCCCTTCCCTTCCCATCCCCACCACCATGCCCACCCCCACCCTGCCCCATACCCTCCCTACCCCCCGCCCTCATGCCCACTCCCACCTCCACTCCTAGCCCCACCCCTGCTCCCCACCTCCACTCCCACACCACCCCTTCCCCATGGCCCACCCTCCTCCACGCCCCTATGCCCATACCCCACACCCCACCTGCATGCCCAGCCCCCTCCCCTACCCCCATCTGGCCCCCACCCCCTCCAGGACGCTCACCCCATCCCCGCCCCCATGCCCACTCCCACCCCTTCCCAATGCCCCACCCCCACCCCTTCCCCATCCCCACCCCCATGTCCACCCCACCCCTTCCCCATGCCCCACCTCCTCCACGCCCCCATGCCCCACCCCTACCCCTTCCCCTTCCCTACCCCCACGCCCACCCTACCCTTCCCTATGCCCCACCTCCACCCCTTCACCATGCTCCACCTCCTCCACGCGCCCATGCCCACCCTCACCCCACCCCCACACCTTCCCCTACTCCCACCCCATCCCCACCCCCACCCCCATGCCCACCCCCACCTCCACTCCTGCCCCTACCCCCTACCCCACCCCTTCCCCATGCCCCACCCTCCCCCACCCCCCATGCCCACACCCCCGCCCCCACCCCCACGATGCTCTCCACCCCGTCAGGGCTCTGACGCCGAGCCTAGGCATCTGGCTGTGGACCCCGATTGGTGCAGGAGTCGGACTTGCCCCACTGCCCCTGTCATGAAGAGCAATAGGCAACTTCTGAAGGGACCCGTGAGCTGTTTCTCTCGTCCCGGGTCACCTCCAGGTCCACAGCCGGACCCAGCCCTGCCCTGGGCACAGGGAATTTGCAGCGGCCTCGTCCCCTGGCTCCACAGGTATTTCTCCTGCTTGGAGCCCCCTGGCTCTAGGCCGTTCCTGATGCTGGAATGTTCCGGCGAGAACCGGGGCGGCCTGAGGCTCTCACCACCTGTGAGTGTTGGTTTAACCTGGGCCAGCCTGGGTTACTGTTGTCCACCCCGGCGACTTTCTTCTTCCGGTCAGAAGCTTTGATGCTTATGGCAAGGAGTGGGGTCTGGTTGGCGGCAGCGTCGGTAAGAAGAACCGTCAGGGGCAGAGGGTCATGGGAGACTAAGCAAAGCCTAGACTTTTTATAGAAACACCACAGGATGAGAAGCCCTTAATCCAGTAGGATCGCTGTCAGAGAGCAGCCCGCAATTCCCCAAGTGCACCCAGAAACGGGGACTTCCTTTTGAGCTTTATTTTCACTTGGCTCCGGCTTAGTTGTTGTTTTATTATTGTTGTGGTTTGGTTTGCAAGTAACAGAAATCCAGCTTAAACCAGTGGCTTGACTTCACGGTCAGGATGGCTGGAGCGGGCTTCAGGTATGGCCATATCCAGGAGCTCAGAGGCCATCGTGAGGTCATTACCTTCCATGCTCTGCATCCGTCGGCTCAGCCCAGTGCCGTCAGCTTGACCCCGGGGGGGTAGCCGTCGAGCTACGTGTGGGTCACCCCCGCGGCTCTGGATCCTAGTGAAGAGAGCCTGCGTGTCTGGCCGTTGTTCTGACAACAGCATCAAGGAGGCGTCTGGACCGGCTCGGGTTGGCTTCCCTGCCTGGCTCAGCTCGGCCAGAAGAACGTACAAGACACTGAGCAGCGTCATGTGTTCCCGTGGCCCTCGTGAGGGTACATCCCGCCAGAGCCGCGCGCAGTGAGGTCCCTACGACAAAAGGAAGAATTTCGTTACGAGAAGGAGGAGGAAAGACCGAGCATGCCACGAGCATGCCACGCAGATAAAACCTCTAGGTACCAGAGTCCGCTGATTGAGGAATTCGGGCGGGGGTGGGGGTGGGGGCGGGGGTGGCCACTGACCTGGAAAGCTCACAGTTAGATCCGGCTTCTGATCCGATCCATCAGCTGCCGGTCGCAGGTGCCGGGGGCTGGTCGCCTGACCAGGGTAGTGACAGCGAGCACGCGGAGGCGTGAGGGTGGGCGACCCCGCCCCCCACCGTGGGGTCAGGTAGGCGGCCTCGGGCCGCGGTCTCCTTGCGTCCCCCAGAACCTAGGGCGTGACCGCTGGCGTGGAGGAGCGATGGGGTCTCGGGGTCTGCAGGCCTTGAACGAATCAGTGAACGGGCTTCTACGATCGTTGACAGAACCGTACCTACGTTTTGTTTTGTTTTCTGGGAAAAGGGATCGTATTTCCTCTTCTCAGAGGACCCTGTGGTCCCCGGCTGTTTAAAAACCATTGCTCAGGCTTGCTTACGTCGTCGTGCGTTCGGCCCGCGTGATCTTACACATTCGTTTCTGGTCTTGGCTCGACTGGTAAAGCTTAGTGCCCGTGAGAGACGTAGTTCCCTGTGGGATGGACGCAGTGATGTCAGCGGCTGAGCACGTGGCACTGAACTGCGGGCTGAGGTTTCAGGCATAGATGCAGACTGCAGGCCTAGTTGCCACCTGCTGAAGTGCTACCCTGGTGCCAGGCTCTGTGCTAGGTGCGTCGCCTGCGCTCTCTGAACTACTTGTGTGCAGACACGACACTACTTCTGTGAGCCCTGGGCCTGTCCCGGAGCGCCGGCTAGAACCGGCTCCTGCCGGCCGCGTCTCTGGGAACACAGGATACAGACTCTGGATTTTCCCTCTTCCCCACGTCTGCTGCTTTGGGTCCACCTTCCAGACAGATGAGCGGATCCTGGGAACCCAGGGTTGGAAGACACTGCTCAGATCATGCAGCTCAGTGGTTTTCAAGCTCTGCTCCTTGGTGTTCCAGCTTCGGGACGAGGGAAGGCTGGGCAGGCCCCAGGTTCCTGCCCTGCTTCAGCCACCACTGTCTGCTGGAAACCACTCATCTGCGGGAATAAAAAGGGTTCAGGGGGACAGCCCGGGTGGCTCAGCGGTTTAGCGCCACCTTCGGCCCAGGGCCTGATCCTGGAGACCCGGGATCGAGTCCCACCTTGGGCTCCCTGCATGGAGCCTGCTCCTCCCTCTGCCTGTGTCTCTGCCTCTCTCTCTCTGTCTCATGAATAAATAAATAAAATCTTAAAAAAGGGTTCAGGATTAAGTGTCAGACTTGAGGTGGAGTCCAGGCTACTGCTTTACTCACTGACCTGTGCGACTCAGAGTGGTGCCTAACCTCTCTGAGCCATAGCTTCCCCAGCTAGCAATGGGGAGAGAACATGTGCCTCCTGGAGCTGTTAGGGGGCCTGGCCCAGGTCGCATCTGTGAAGTCCCTGGCCCCTGCTGGCCCGCCAGGTTACACACGTGACCTAGGAGACCTAACAGGATGCAGCTGTATTCTTTGTTGTGTGTGGTTCTTTTTTTTTTTTTTAAGATTTTATTTATTTATTTAGAATGAGCATGAGCTAGGGGAGGAACAGCAGGAGAGAGGGAGAGAATCTCAAGCTGACTCCACCCAGAGCACAGAACCTGACTCGAGGCTCCATCTCATGACCTGAGATCATGACCCGAGCTGAACTCAAGAGTCGGACACTCGACCTCCTGAGCCCCCAGCTGAGTCTGTCTCTCACTGTTCCTTCAAAGTCTACGCAGTGGAGTGTGTCTTGCCCCCATTTCCTCTTCAAAACTCGGTCAAGCCCATGACTCTTCTGGTTGCTCTTAGGCAGTGAGGAGTCCCGTGGCCCCTTTAGGTGACACACGGCAGACATGCGCATTTCCTCTGGAAGCTGGAAGTGCTCAGTGTGGCCCACAGCAGTCGGCCTTCACCGGAGAGAAGACGCCCGCCATCCTGCGGGGAGGGGCCTCCCCGTGCTCCAGCCCTGCCCGCTCCAGCCCTGCCCGCGTCGGGCCTCCCTGCGTGAAGCTGACTGCTGCCGTCCCGCCTGGCTCCGGGTCCTCCGGGTCTCTCTCTGTCCTGCTGGCTTCCGTGGCTTTCTCAAGGACTCCCTCTGGAACTTTCCGTTGGATCTCCCAGAACTCAGGCACGTCTCCTGCTAGCTGTGACGTCAGCCGGCAGCTTCGGGCCTCCACACACGTTCCCGCAGCCTCAGGCGGGATTCAGCCCTTTGGATGGAGCCTGATTCAGGGAGACAGGCCGGCATTCCTGGAGCCCAGGGTTCCCGGGGCTTCAGCTCCCAGAGGGGGGCTGGGCAGCCACCCCTGAGTGGCCTTCTGTTCCTCCAGGGTCCGCACCTGGGGGACCCCAACCGGGCCTTGCAGGTGTTGCTTGTGAAACCCCTTCCCTGAGGCTTGAAATGAAGGGCCAGCCGTCTGCCCGTCACCGTCGGGGGGGGGCTGGGGGGGGGTCTGAGCCCTGTAAGGAATCTGCCCCACAGACACCTCCGTGGCGTTCCGCTGCCCCGAACCCGGTTGGGCGTCCTCCTCATGATCTTGGAGCCCGCGAGGTCAGCTTCCTTGAAATTTCCACATTGTGGTCTGGCCCCTTGTTCTGGAATTTCCCATCTGTGGACTCTTGATGCTGGAGTGGAAACTTCCACTTTAGCATCTTGTCAGATTAACTGCTACCCCCAGCCGGGGCCAGGAGCTCCTCTTCAGCGCCCCCCAAAGCAGCCTTAGGTCCTCCTGGAAACCCGGGCCAGCGCCGCACGCTCCCTGCCCAGCCCCGCACGCTCCCTGCCCCTTCCTCCCGCCCAGGTGTCTCACCCCGATCCTCAGGGAACGGGGAGCGGGGGGATTGCTGGGAAGGCGCTGCTTCCAGAGCCCAGCCTGCCCCCCCCCGTCATGTTCCCATCATGGGGGTGGGAGGTGCGCGTGCACCCCAGGCCGCACATCTGCCTGGGGCAGAGATCCCAGGTGCAGGCCGCTTCCCCCGACCCCCACCTCTGAGGTCCCAGAAGCCCTTGACCTGCCTCCGGGAAGGCTTCCCTCCCATCGTGCCGGCGGCAAGGACCTGGAAACTCCACGCTCAGCCACCAGCCACCATTTCTGGTGCTCGTGACCCTGACGCGGTTTCTCTGGCTCCGAGAGCTGACTTGCCGCGCCTCGTGGGGGTTGCACGACTCTGAGAAGTGAAGGCTTGCAGTGTGTGTGCTCGCTCGTGCCCCGATGACGCGGGAACCCCAGGCGGGCAGGCCCCCCCCCGCACCCCCCACCATTCCCGCCTGGGGCCTCACCTTGGCCTCGGGGGACGGAGGGCTCTCTGCTTGGCCGTTCAGGTGGCGTAGACAGGCGCGACCCGGGACACCTGGTGTGTGTGCCCGCTGTGCGGCCCGGAGGCGCGGGTGTGGGCGGGAGGCGGAGGCCGCAGCTTCCTTAGCAACCCAGACACGTCGGGCAGAGTCTCTGAGCCTCCATCTCCTCATTTGTTGGGTGAGGGTAATGCCAGGTGCCCGGAAGCGGGCGGCGTTAGGGGAAGCGTCGGCGCGGGCATTCACAGTGGCCTGCCACACGGTCTACACTCGGCAAGTAGCAGCTTTTACCATTATTTGCTTTTGACTGTTGCCCTGATTCCTGAAATGTCCTCAGAGCCTTGGAAAAAAATAGTCCAATTCTCCAACATTTTTTTTTGGGGGGGGGAGGATCAAATAGGAATCGGAGGGGAAAAAAATCAAAGTATGTGCAGCTTCCTGCTGTAAAAAAGTATTTTGCAAAGCTCGTAAGTCCTTCGTAGCAAACGATGTGACTTTGGGTTGCAGAGGCCACGTGTGTGGCCCAAGGGCTGGGAGCAAAGCTCCGGCTGCCCAGCCCCACATGCACCACTCAGGACCTCCGGCCGCGCGGGCCCCGGGCAGGCCAGTTGCTCCGAAAGCCTCCGTTTCTGCGTGGGTAGCGGTGAGGGTGCTGCGCAGCGTCGCTGTGGGAACTAGCGCGTGGGGCGTGCGGGGTGCAAGCCCCAGAGGAGGGTGGCTCACCTCTTCCCGGCGTCTTCACCTTACGGGGGAGAATCTGCACGACGTTTGTCCCTGGCGACAGACGGCTGCACGGAGACACCGCGTGTGAGAAGCTGTTCTTGCTGTCGTGCTCGGGAGAGAACGAGAACGTCGCGGGGCAGGGCCGCTCACGAGTACCAGGCCGTGGCGGGTAGGACAGCAGGCTCCGTCCGCTAAGCCGCTGGCCTCTTGAGGCCTCCTCTCGTTTCCTTGCCAAGAGTTGGCGACGTGGTCTTGCCACTAGCCCGGGAGACGTTTCTACGTCGCTTGTACGGGTCGTGAGAAGGCGCAGCCGTAGCCGTGGCGGCCAGGCGCTTGGGATTCAGAGCGGTCTGGTTCTCCGCAAGCCTGCGTGGTTGGCACCTTGGTGGAACCAGCGGGGATCTTGAGAGGAGACAGGACCTTCCCGTCGGGGGCCCGTGGCGGAGCTGAGCCCTGACCCAGGAGGACCGGCCCCTCGGACGCAATGGGGCAGGCGTCCCTCGGGCAGATTGTCGTGGGGTCCTCCCGGGGCCGCGGACACTCCCGGGCAGCAGCGGGTCCACGTGGAACCAAGCAAGCTCGCTGTTTGTCGGGCTGATTTCGAAGCCTGCGTTACTCGTGCCTGGACGTCTTTGGTGAACGACTGCCCGGTGAGCAGGAGCCCCGTTCTGACGTGGGGTCTGCAGACGATTCTGGAATACTGTGTGGAAGCTTAGGACCTGGTGGAGAGCCAGGGCCAAGGGAAGGGGCGCAGCCTCAAGGGAGGGGCCAGAGGGTGGGGAACACAGGCCGAGCACCTGCCACGAGCCCAGGCACCTACGGCAACACACTTGCC